CTAGCTAGGTAGCTAACTTGATCCGGCCACTGCTGGTTCTTTCATCAGACAGGAAGCGAAAGAACGAGCAAGACCCATTGCTGGTATGATAACAACCTGGTAGCCTAATACTACATAGATATATATAAACACTAGATGACTCACCCGCGCTGCTGGCCAATGGAGACCGACGTTGCCACATGGCCGCCATCTTGCTACAGGTAGTGCTCTCATTCATAACATTATGGTTTACTATTTAAATAACCATAGCTTGCTCAATTTTGAACCAATTTTCAAACGGTTTGTTTTTTTATAAACATCAAAGATGTAGTTATGATACTGTATACTTATAGTCATGGACTTTCATATGAAAATAACATTAAGCAGATAAAGCAATAGCTATACACACACACACAAGGTATTTATATTAAATATTTTCCGGTGTATATATTTCCATTTATTTTTATTATATTGTTAATATTTAAAATAAATTATAAAATTAAAATATATTTATATTTTATATATAAAAATCGGTCTCACTCTGTAAGCCAAGAGTTGTTAATTTAGCAATGCCTTAGCTTGAAGAATAGGGACACAACTAATGACAATAGCATATGGTGGTATATTATTTAGATATTCACACCTTTATCAGAAGAACCAAACCAACATAAAATGAGCTCACAGACAGGCCAGTTCTGTCTCATTTATCACAATTATACGAATATATAAATAATAGTAATATGGAAATTAATAAGTTACTTTTTTAACAATTCAATGTTCACTTATCAATACTGTGAGCCTGATTTTTTTTTACATTCTCCAACAGAAAACACAACTCAGCGTACTTTTAAGAAATGGATCTTAATAGGCTTTTCCCCTTATAAGGCAACAATATGTTTTGAGGCTCTGGACAAAAATGGCTATTTTGATTGTAAAGGTTGCCAATCCCTGGGTGTAGTTTCACTGTTTGCACATGTTTATTCAAGTGTATGAGTGACATAGAGCAAGTGAGATGGCCAGTGGTTCTCAAACCTTTTACACAGAGTACCACCTCAAATTATATTGGGCTCTCCTAGTAACACCATCATAGACCTTCCTGGGTACCACCGAGATAAAGGATTTAATATGACAAGCCATATGATGCTCTCATTTGTTAGTGACATTCCACATGCAAATAAAACAAGATAAGATGGTACTTTATTCATCCCAATTTGGGAAAACATTTTTAGTTACAGCAGCATAAGGGACAAGGCATTTTACAATGAATTAGAAATAAGCAAGAAAAATAAAGAAAATAAAGAAAGAGGAAAATATACATGTTGAGTTTGGCAGGATATTACACATGATTTCTTCCAAGTGGTTTGGCTTGTTAAAAACATCTTGCATTATGATACAGGAATTTGCTGGCTTTGTGTTTACAGAAGTACCTGACTATGCCTGACTTTTGTGCAGCCTACGGCTGCTCTAATCGCCACTATAATTAGGATAATCGTTAATTACTTAGTGGCACTAAGTAATTAACGATTATCCTAATTAGAGTCATAATATTGTCATATCTTACATGTGAAAGGTGATTCCACGGGTTCTTGTTTGCAGACTGCAGCGATTAGAGCAGCCGTAGGCTGCACAAAAGTCAGGCATAGTCAGGTACTTCTGTAAACACAAAGCCAGCAAATTCCTGTATCATAATGCAAGATGTTTTTAACAAGCCAAACCACTTGGAAGAAATCATGTGTAACTTAAGTTACTAACTGTAGCAAGATGGCGGCCGGTGAGCTACGCTGGAAAATCTCCCATGAGCCATCTAGTGTTTATATCTATGGCCTACTAAGCACACAGGCATCTTGTTAAAGTTATCTTTTCTTAGCTATCTCTTATATTTAGTGGAGGAAAACAATTATGAGATATGACATCACCTACACGACACTGGGATGTGTAGTCTTTCTAGTTGCGTATTTTTCATAGTCTTATATTTCAACAGTTTTACGACAAACTGTGACTTTTTTTACATGGAAATGATTTTTTAAGATTGACAAACATCATATGTGTAATTCGTGGCACAATTCAAACGGGACCGAAATATAACGTTTCTCTCGCCATTGACTTCAATACATCATTTTTCCGAAATAAGGTCCCATGGAGGTCCACCGGAAAGGGAGGGACTTCGCCTCTCTGGGAAAAAGTTGTTTTGGGCCTGGTGACGTCACGACTGATACGGAAATTGCAGTACCGCCGTTTGGACACAACGAATGGGCTGAAGTCGAATAGTCCATTTAGCTTAGGAACCTTCCTAACGGAGTGAAATTACCCGGAAGTCCCTCAGTGGCAGCCATGATAAGTGCCGTTCGAATTCTCTAGAGATGATAGGAAAGGAGGTTTCAAACTTCCTTTATAACCTCCTTTAGTTTAGGAACCACTGGACCTCCCTTGACGAAAGGAGAGGAGAAAGTGCTGCCCCACAATGCATTGCGGCCGCAGCATTTGCCCTCACACAACGGAAACAACCGAGAAATGATATCATGAAAGTTACGGTGCTTATTAAGCATTTTAAAACGTATGTGGTAAGTTGCCAAAGTGCTTTGTTTTGAACGTTCATCAGTATTATAATCAAAGAGAGAAATATGAACGTTAGTTTTTACTAAAATGATCAAATAAAGTCAACATTTCACAGTCTTTACTGAGCTGTGTGGGGTTTGTTCAACTTTTAAAAGATGTTTGAATGGTGATATACACAGTGATAGATGTTAAGGACTAACGTTTATAATAAATACATCTGTATTGACTTTAAGATCTGTTCATAGTTCATACAATCATACGTATTGAGATCATTTGTATTAATGTGGACCGGAGGGAGAGGGTGACGATGAGCATAAGTTTCACTTTCCTTTTTTATTTAAATTCCAACTTTGGTCATGAAGAATATGTTTCTCTGTTGTCCACGTTCATAAAGCATAAAGAAACAGCATCAGAGCACGGTGCAGAGTCTCTAGATGAGTTCACAGTAGTCCGTCGTTCTTTTTAAACATCCATGTTGTAGTCCTCTGTATAGAAAACTGTAGTTTCCGTAGTTTCCACAGCAGCAGACGCACATTCATGACGTCCGCTGGCGCATCATAAACACGTCGGATAGTGAAAGTGCAGTCGGATTCTCTAAAGTACCACGAGCCTCATCCCAATAGGCGCTTTCACACTGCGGTACTTTTCCCACAAAGGTTCATGTGAACTCTTTTATCGCGTTCACACCAAAAAGAGCCGGTACTACAATTAGTTCATGTGAACCTTTTTACCCCCTCGAAAGTCCCTGCTAGAGAGCAGGGACTTTCGAACGGCTCTTTTGTGAGAAAAGAGCTACATTTCTGATTGGCTGGGCGGATTACAAACCACGCCCCGTAAAACTCCCAAAAAGTGTTGTGAAGCCGCCATTTTATTATCCTCGCATTAGCATTATTAGCATTAGCATTAACCCAGCGCAGAAACGCAGAGAGACTAATTTATGGCAACACAAAATAAAACATGGGAGTGGTGGAGATGAGGAGGTGTCGGCGTTCTGGCGATTTACTCGGAAGGCTTCAGTAGAAGCTGCTGGGAGTCCCAGCAGCTTCTACTGAAGCCAGTTCCTAACTCCGGGGACTTCCGGCGGCAGTATACGCCGTGAAGTGGTTTGCGGCCTGCCAGTAAACCCAAAGCAGAAGAAGAACAAGTGACGTCAGCGGCTTCATTTGCCTAATCCACCCCCAGGGACTTTTTCCAGTGTGAACGCGATCTGTACTTAGTTCATGAGAACTAAAGAGTTCTCATGAACTAAGTTCACATGAACCTTTGTGGGAAAAGTACCGCAGTGTGAAAGCGCCTAATACCCCTCCTCGACTCCTCCTTTCCTTCACTCGCGTCCCTTCCTCCGCCTCCGTAAAATGCGAGCGAGAGACACGAGGAGGTGACGCGAGGACAGAGGAGTCCTCAGCCTATTAATTGGGATGTCCTCGTTCACTCAAACGTCACTCTTAAACGACGTCTGTTAATGATGACATTTGCACAGCTGTATCCCCTCTCATCGGGCTTAACTGAATAACCCTTTAGAACCGGCCCATTTCTGGTTAAATATTTAAATGAATGAATCTTTCTCTTGTTAATCAAGGAATTCAATGTATGATGGTTGGTCCTGCTTTTGTGTTTCGTTTTGGTGTAAAATGTAGCCTACATTTAAATAAAAATATAATTATAGTAATGTGAAAGCCTTTTAGAAATGAATTGCACATAATAATTCCCACGGAGCTGTGAGCACTTATACATTTATATCATATACATCTTCCAGTTGTCGGTTTTCCTCTGTTGAAATCGACCAGCTGTGAAGGTGGGGGCGGGGCTTTTATACGCGAGTAGTGAAAACACTTCCGCGTGTATCCTCTCTTTCGTCTCCTCCCGCACCCCTCCTCCCTCACCCCTCCTCGACTCCTCTGTGTGCATTTCACCTATTGGGATTGGGACGTCCTTCAAAATGGCGTGTCTTGATCGATTTCCGGGTCAAGTCCCAGAGGAGGGGAAGAGAGGAGTCGAGGAGGGGTATTGGGATGAGGCTACAGTCTCTTCTCCTAAATCCTTTTGAATTCTCCTATCCACTATTCCTTAACCCCGTGAGGTTGTGGATTATCCGACCGCAACCCAAGCCCCCAGCCAGGAAGTGCGCCGGACTCTGTGAGGGAACATTTTTGGGATGTGAGTTCTGACTTTATCTCAGAAAGAAAAGTCCGGACTGAAATGTAAATTTAAACTTTAGGTCACATCACATCCCAATTTTGGGGATTTTTAAAAAGTATCTCAAAGATTGTCCTAACTAATTAAACTCCACTGAATTATAGAATTGTGTGTAGGTCACTTTCAGGAGTGATCTGGATAAGTTTGAGTTGGTTTCCTGTTTCCTGGCTTCCTCATATCTAATTTGCTCTTAAAACACTTGAATAATTGTTACATTATAAAATAATAAATTGGAAGCCTGCAGAGGAGCGGCGGAACCGGAAGTGTGTTGTAATGTGGTCAATGACGTCATGACGGTTGCGGTCTCTAATGGCTGAACAACAACAACAACTGTCCGCGAGAGACAAACTTTCACAAACTCCTTGTAAAACAAAAGAAAGTTGGAAATAGAAGAATTGTTTCGGTTGGCTGACTCTTTAGTAGCGTTTGTTAGTTTATTCCCTGTAGTTACAAATGTGGAATAAGTGATGGATTCGAGATATGACATACCGCGGAGGGCCGCCGGTGGTGGCGGGGGATCCGCGAACTCTTCCCCGGCCATGGGGGCTCAGTCGCGCCGCAGGAAGATGCCTCCGAGACCCGCTGATTTTAAACTTCAAATTATCATTATTGGCTCCCGTGGTGTCGGTAAAACGAGCATCATGGAGAGATTTACCGACGACACTTTCTGTGAAGCTTGCAAGTCGACCGTAGGTGAGGACAGGAGACGTGTTTTTGTCAACTTTGTTTGACAGGGCGCAGTCTACTTACTGGAGGAAATGTTCTTAAACTAGCATGGGCTGGGCATTATACACATATTGTTGACTACTTTTCAGTGTAACTGGACTGAATAGAGGTTATACTAGACGCTATAGCTAGCTAACTTAAGCTAACGGTAACAACAACACTATTGTAGCTAACAAAGCTGTCATAGCTAAAACTATGTTGCAATTAATCAACTAAACATACATGTTACATGCTTTGAATCATTTGATGTTTTTTTGCATTTACTAGGCTGTTGCAGGGGATGTATATCAGGGATTTTAAAGCCCAACATAGCAGGGGAGACTATGGTAACTTAGTTCTTAGATAGCATCTGCAGCTGTCCAGTAATTAGTTAACTTAATATACTGCTGGTGGTGACGAGCCTTTTGGTTATATTTAAATACATAAGAGTATACTTTTGTTCCAATAAGTGCTTTAATTAAAGGCCATTTCCATTACTGTACAGCCATTTTTCCATTTTATATATACAATTACAGTTGTCCTACATAAAACACATGATCTCTTTATTTGAGTTATTAAAAAGAAAGAAAACAAGAGTGCCTTGTGACAATTTAATGTTGCATGGTTATGGATGCTGCCAGCTTAAATACATAACACCCTGAACATGTGTAATTGGGTAAAAAGTCCTGTGACCAAACAACAGTCAGTCATAGTGTCCAATCCCAAAATAGTCACACAAGAGCAGCTGCTGTGGCAGAGCTCCATTTTGTGCCCTGTCATTCCTGTAATACAACTAGTCACTAATAGCATTTTATTTTGATCACAAATTAACATTTAAAAAAACATAGGATTCAACCAGACATAAAGCAAAGGAGGGAAGTCAAATATCTTAAACCAACCAACAAATAGATATAAAATAACACAGGAAATGCTGGAACTTGTACATATCCTCATATGTGTGTGTGTTTCTGTTTCCTCTCATAGGAGTTGACTTCAAAATCAAGACCGTGGAGCTGAGAGGGAAGAAGATCAGACTACAGATATGGTGAGTAATTCCCCAGAAGTCCCCAACTCATTTAGTCCTCTGCATGGTTCACTTCCTGTGTCTGTCCTATCATCCTGCAAGCTGCTCTAACAAACACTTACTCCTGCCCTTCAGCTTTGTACTGTACATAGTGCATATAACAGTAAGACTTCCTACAAATGATGTGATTGCATGTAGGGCTGCACGATATTGGAAAAAACTGACATTGCGATTTTTTCCCAACCTGCGATATATATTGCGATATGAAAACATACAGGAATTAAAGAAAATACAGTTTTTTGTCCACAAACCATCCTTTCTTGAACTTTAATGCAATACAATTGGTATTTTTTTTTAACTATATTTAACCGGATGATGGATTTTAGTCACGGACGTCTGGATCTTAAGTTATCAGAGCAACAAGCTGAGCTAGCTCGGTTAGCAGCGCCGAACTGCCCTGGAGAAACACATGAAACTACTTTTACCTTTAATCTCCGGGTCCGTTTGCTTTGGAGGTTTGGTTGTGATTGGTGGTTTGCTGTGCATGCAGAGCCAGCATGTCACTCACTCAAGTACCCCTGACATGAGAGCCGCGCAAGGTTTCCTTTTGTAGCAAGCAGCAAAATAATTGTAACATGACGTGTTTGAGTTAATTTGCCTACTTAATATCGCACGTCCTAAAAACAAAAATAAATGAAGAATTTCTTTTTTTTTTTAAATCGTCACGTCCTGCGATGTGAATATCACGCATGCGCATATCGCGATTATCGTCACGACACGATATATCGTGCAGCCCTAATTGCATGTATTTCCCACCATAACATGCCATGAGGTAGTTGTTCCTATAAAGCTGCATATAAAATCAACTGTGGATCCTGTGGGAAGATAACTGTTAGCCTCATGTTGAGCAGCACGTGATGCTACTTACCCTGTTGCTGTCTCAATGGCAAACACTTTAACTTGTGCGACATCAGGTGCTATTGTTGTCACTCTTACATTTCGTACTTTATAAATGACCATTAAGGACACACATTAAAACACTTCTGGAAAACGCATAGAAAATACAAATCATAATTTAAAAAAACTAAATATTTGTACACAGTTCATAACATTACATGCCATCCCTTCTCTGATTCCAAAGTAAAACTGCACTTATCATTCTAATACATGTAAAGTAAACATAAAACAGTGTAATTGTTACTGGTGTTTGCTAGTGTGAAGCCGGTGAGGGATCATATCCTTGTCGCTCCACTAGCAGCTGCTTCTGGTCAGGAGGACAGCGTTAAACACTGTATGTTAAATGCCCTCCTGATAAAGGTACTTGCTGGCTGCTATAAAGGAATAGCAGATCACCTGGCAACTCTGACCCATAATCCTTTGCGCAGCAGACACATAAGAGTGTGAAAGTTCACGGGGCAATGACAAAGTAATGACAAATGCATACTGTATGCAAAAGTACACGTTGTAAGGGCAGCAACATGATACATTTACAGTATAAATTCCAAATTATGCAATTATAAATGCATGTCTTGTATTTGTTATCAAACATGCCACAAGTTAGTCATGAAAGTGCTGACTGAGTGCATGACTGAACTGCGTGTGTGCACAAATGTTAGCCTCAAACTCCATCGCTTATTTCACTAATGCATCTCTTCACTAACACCCATCCATCCCCCCTCCACATCACATCCACCCTTTACCTCCCCCCATTCCTCTTCCCACCCTGCGACCTGTCCGCTCTAGAGGACCGTCCTCAATGTGTCTTGTCTGTCTGTCACATTGAACTGCTCACATCAAGCTTCATCATGACCACGCCTTAACCTAACCCGCCATGTGCTGCTGTGTCTCTGTCCGCTGCTCTGCTCATAAGCCTGACTGTGACTCACAATGGGAACCACTGAAGGTACAGTAACACTGCTCTGTTGCTGCGTGCAGCTCAACCTGCTTATTGTGCTGCTAAACCTGAGTCTGATCATCAGCTGAAACATAACAGAAAGATAGAATGAATCTATATGTTGTTAAAATGTAACAAGAGTTTATTATGTTGTTAATAGTAAGGATAGAGGGTGTCGTTTTTCTCATACTGATATTCTGAACAATCTGTGCTGTTGTATTTGCTGTAAAGTGTCTCTACTGTAGGCTATTTTTATTTTATGTACAGCACTTTGGCTCGACCAAAAATCGTTTATAAATGTGCTATATAAATAAAACTTGATTTGATTTTGTCATCTTGATCAGCCTATAAAAGCTGCTATTGTCTAACAATGTTATTTAGATTTTATGTACCATAAATAACATACATGCAGTATATTAACATTAACGAAATGGTATCGGTAAACACACTATAATGTAGCTGTACATTTTTTTTCATTTTTTATACTTTATTGTTTATCATTATCTGTTTATTAGTCCTCCCCTTATGGCTGACAACAAGAGTTGTAGTGTTTGACAAATACAACAATTAACACTTACATTATAAGGAATAGAAATGTACTGCTTATCAATACAAGAAGTGTGGGTTAAACTGAGATGTAGGGGTAGAGGGTAAGACGTAGATTTGATTATGACATTTCACGAAATTGATTCCTCTTCCTCCATTTGTTGTTGGATCTTTTTAAAACAAATGTCATTTTGTGTCGTGCAGGGACACTGCTGGCCAGGAGAGATTCAACAGCATCACCTCCGCCTACTACCGAGGCGCCAAGGGAATAGTGCTAGTGTACGATATCACAAAGCAGGAGACCTTCGAGGACCTGCCCAAATGGATGAAAATGATAGACAAGGTAAAGAGAAAGCTGGAATAAGATGAAATATGCCTTCTTTCTTGTTCTTCCTTCTTGTCCTTGAGTGTGTTCGTGTGCCATTGTTATAAGCCAAGAACAAGCGTTTAACCTTACATACATAATTGAGATAGTGTAAACGTTATTATTATTGCAATTGTGACCAGGAAATGTTCTGTGAAGGACTTTTCACCATTAGATAAGTTAACTTATAATGCCTTTGTGTATAGGCCTGTTCAATGTATTACTTTAGTGTCAATTGGCAGAAATTATTGTCCTAATGGCTTGAATGTATTCATTTGATATGAGTTGGTACATGTGACGACTCCTGACACTGTAATACCTCTGTTTTTATATTTAATATTCATTGCATGTCCCTCCTGTAGATTAAGATCAAAGGTTGGAGCAATTTCTGTCCTCATAGTCAAACTTTATTGGTATATTGGCCAGCATGTAAATTATATGTCCCAAGTTATGTTCAGATCACACTGCTTACTGCAATGTGCAATGACAACCTCATGTTCTAATTTCGCTGTAATGGCAAAACTGTAAAACCAATATTAAAGGTGCCACTATGCCGAACACATTTCATCGCAGTAATCAGGTTGGACTTCATGAAATGTGAGTCTGATGAAGCCCTGACGTTTTTAGCTCTTTCCTTTCTGTTTGGTGTCAGTACGCCTCAGAGGAAGCAGAGCTCCTCCTGGTCGGGAACAAGCTGGACTGTGAGGCTGATCGTATCATCTCCAGACAGCAGGGAGAGAGGGTGAGTTCAACAACCTAATGCTCTTATGCTCAAATGACATAATGGAAGGTGTAGTAAGACGAACAATAGATAAAACAGGTATTACAAGCAGAACGTCAAGTTTAGGGAAATAAGAAAACAAATTATGCAGAATGTAGGTGGTAGGGCAGATGGATGCTTTCAATATGCCCAAGGACTGATAGCACTGAATACCCCAACAAACAGATATTATGCATCGTACCAGTTGATTCAAGCATGTGATTTAGAAGTTTATCCAATTGTACTATTAAGTCTAGAGCAAATAATCTTCAGTTGTGTTGTTCAGCATAATTTCTGCTCCCGATTCACTTGTTCTTTGCTGACCTGGAGCTAATTGTAATCTATTTGTTTTGCAGTTTTGCTCTAGAATAAGTGGAATGCGCTTCTGCGAAGCTAGTGCAAAGGATAATTTCAATGTGGACGAGATCTTCCTGAAGCTGGTGGATGACATCCTCAGCAAGGTTGGTGTGTTTTCAGTGAACCCTGAACAACAATCTGGTAACAATGAGACTATGTTATGCATGTGAGTAGGGCGCATAACATAGACAGATTTTTTGTAAATATGCTTCAAATTAGTTATTGAAGATTTGTGCAGAAAAGGACCATTTTAACATTTCTGTACAGCAGTATCTTGTCACTTTATTTATATATGTGAAAAGCTTATACCAGCTTATAATATTGGCCAATATTGTTTCAAGATAAACTCTCTTAACCCCCTAGTTCAACTCCTCGTCGTCTGCATCATTATCGCCCTATTTCATTAAGATCATACCGATTATTATCAAGAGGCAATGATTCTATTGCTTCTAAAAGCTTCTTGTCTTTCATTCCTACAAATTGAGGCTTACTGAGCGATTGCACATAATAACTGACTGTGGGTTTCGATGTACGCACACCGCCTAAATATTCCCTGCATTAACCCTTTGTCTCCTGGCGTGTCTTCTTCCTGATACAACAGATGCCTCTGGAAGTTTCCAACATGGAGCTTTCCAACAGCATCCTGTCTCTGCAGCCTGAGCCGGATGTGCCACCGGAGTTACCGCCTCCTCGCATGCGCTGTTGCTGAGAGAGTCAGAGTGGTCCCCCATCCTACACACACACACACACACACACACACACACACACACACACACACACACACACACACACACACACACACACACACTACACAAACCACACACACGCAGAGTACCAACCTGGCCACCAGGGGGCAGCAAACAGCAGCAGTTAGGAATGATTGATTGCTGATGTAACCGCTATTATATTTCCTTCTCCTGTTTCGTACACTATGAGATGAAGTACACTAACAATTATGCCATCTATTTACTACCACTCCCTTCTGTCTACACTTGACCCAGACTACCTCATTCCTCGGACCGCTAGCTGTTCCCCGCAGGTTCCTTCGAGGTAGAGAGCCCTCTGGTAGCAGTTGCACATTTTACAAGAGGGTGATGATTGAGGGCCTTACAGCTTCCTGTTACTCATTACATATAGTGTACACTAAATCTGCCTAAGTTGCCCAGAAGGTCATGTATTTCTACATCTTCTAGCTAACAGAAAAGGGATATCTTGCGTCTCTTCATCTTAGTTTCAAGTTCTGGGGTTAGGTTCAGTCATTTTGTACTGTCACTAAAAATTTCGAATCACCAAGTAACGAGTTGACTAGGGGTAAACAAAAGCACATGATGCAAATATGGCGTGTTGCTGTAATGACTGGACAAGCTGCAGATTTCTGTGGCCGGCAGTAGGTGGTTGTGTGGAGGTGGATCATATCAGTTCGTATTCCTTTTTGCCTTAAAAGTGTTAAAGTGGCTGGAACGGCTTATTTCACATTTGTATAAATTGTTTTGCACTACAGTCCATCTTAGCTAACATGCAGAAAAAAGTGCACTACAGTCCATCTTAGCTAACATGCAAAAAAAAGTGCACAGTCCATCTTAGCTAAGATCACATGCAGAAAAAAGTGCACAACTTGTAGTTTAGTAAAGATGGATTTTGCCTTGGTAGTGGTCGTTCTGATCTGAACTCCTCTACACTGATAAGGTGGAATGGAGTTTGCAAGGAGAGATGGGTAATGTAGTCTTTGAGGGCTTGGTGTTTTTACAAGGGCATTATCCTTGTTTGTAACTGGCTTTTTAGAGGGAGTAGAAACAGTAAAAGCTGATAGACACAAACATGGTTTTAGCCTTTGTTTTGTTACTAATAAGTGTTTTATTTTTATTTTTACAGATTAGAGAAGATTATCTCCTTTTTCTGGGCGGAATAAGTGTCGGAGAGTTTGTTTAATATTTGAGGGACTCAGGAAACGTTGGTGGCTCATATCTGCACATTTTGACAGGCTGTTAGTGTAGATGGGATTCAAGTTTCACAACACATTTATAAAGAGACTCTTCAAGTATCCTGTTTGAAAGGGGATGTTTGTGTTTTTAAGAAGGGTCAGATGTTTTTAATTTATGATTTGGAAGTTTGTTACATAACAGTATGGGCGTGTGTTCCTTTTCAAATATACAAGGCTATGCATGGTGAGCCTTCCTGTTTTCATAGAGATTAGTTGACATTGAATTCTTCCGTCTTTTTTAATTAATGCAATATTGTCGCACTAAGTCTTGTTTTCTATGTGGAAGTGAAAACCGGAGGAAAGTCTGAAGGTGAGGAAGAACGAGCCCATTCAAAGGACCTGATTTAAAATGACCTAAACTGACTTGTTGTTGGTTCTATTAAAGTCAAGCTTATGTGGGGTTAAATGGCACATTATATATCCTAACAAATGGACATGTTCATACCAAGACAATTAACCCTAACCCCAAGTTTATCAGCCAGCATACAAATGATTTGTAACTTTGCAATTGTCGTTACTTCTTTTGGGTTTCTGGAATAAAACCTTTAATTTGCCCCCTTCGTGACTTTTAGCCTTTGGCACTAACCCTGTGGTCTTTTCTTTTAATAGCCAAGCCTTATACTACTCAGTGTTTTAGATATACATTTGAAGAAATGCTTTTAATTTGAAATGTGTATCCTTTTAAGATGGAAAGACTGTACTTTGTATTAAAAACATGTTATAAGTCATTGAAAAGTGTTGGCATGTTTAAAGCAGGTTTGTGGTATTTATAACTTGTGGCATTCTTGAACTAATGAAAAATGCAATTAAAGATATCTATATTTATTACCAGATTATGGCTTTTTCTTTTCTTTGACTTTGTGTGTCTTAACGCAGAAGTGCAATGTGTGGATTTCAGGAACAAATACATGATAATTTTCTTATTTTTTATTGACATTTCTATCACTTTATGGGTACCAAGATGCTGCAAACACGCGTGGTGTTTAACTTTAACATCTTTTAGATTGGAGTATTAGGGATAATGCAATTGATTCAAGGAGCTTCTAGACGTTTTAAGTATAAGATTTCCCACAGGAAGAGCTCAGTGTTGTGTCTCCTTAATCCATCTTTCAACCCACTGTGTAGGTGTTCAATAATAGCCAATAGAGTGCGTGTCATTAGGGCATGCGCACCAAAGCGTGCCGACCTGGTCCCGCCTGGTCCCATAGAAAACAGGGGGGTGTGCTTGGAGCAGCGCATGCGCTCCGCAGAAAATCACGGGTGTCGATCCTCACACCGCAGCGATTGCAGTTCTTACATGTCAGATAGGAAGGAGTGAGAGGGGTACGAGAGACGGGGGCCCAGCACTCACAGCCCGGTGTAACAGTGATGGAGACCCGATCTGTGGAGGAAAAAGAGATTTAGGCTTACTACAAGCACTCCTTCCTTTCTAAATCTGCAGATGCAACCTGTCTCACATCCACCTCCGTCCCAGTAATCCCCTTTTCTTGTTGCAGCGTTTCCTCCCAGGACTACAATGACAACCTGGTGAATGCTAACGAGATGGAGTAAAAAAAGAACGTCCAGCACATTGCAGGATGCGCACTAGGAGGACGAAGGTAGAGCAACCTGGGTGTCTTTCTGCTGTCTCATGTCAGAGGTTTTCCGCGGTGCTGTGGATTGATCGTCTCGGTGTCGGTGTATAATGGAGAGCTCCAATGGCTCTGGCAGCGACACCAAACCGCAGAACCACCAGTTGGAGAAGAAGAGACTGAACCGAGCGCCTTCCCCGGCCAGACCTTTCCTCAAGGATGTGCACTCCCGCTCCCCCAAACCACCTGCCATCGTACCCAAATCCCCAAAACTCAGCAAGCAGTCAGCCTCGCTGCCCTTGGTGCATCCGAACCGCATCTCCAGACGCAGCCCGTCCGGGGCGAAGGAGAAACCATCCATGCTGAAAAGTAACACCAGGTCTCCTGTGGCGAGAAAGCCCTCAAAGGTGTCCCAGCATGCGGCAGCCGAGCCCAAAACCGCCAGCATCAAACCGGACAGTACCAGCGGCAGTCCGGTCCTCTCTAAAGGGAAGAGGGGGAAACTAGCCTCCTCTCCGGGGCCTCTAAGCCATGGATCTCCAATCCGGGTACCTACCGGTGCGCATTTGGTTCTGGTCAGCCAGACGGACAGCAGCTCGGACCTGTCGGACTGCCCCTCCGAGCCGCTGTCCGACGAGCAGAGGCAGGTAGCGGCCGCTAGTAGCGACGCTGAGTCCGGGACCGGCTCCAGTGACCGGGATCAGCTGGGAGGGGATAATCCTCTGCGGGAAGAAGCGACCGAAGCTCCACCGTGCACAACCGAGGCTTCCGCCGCCAAGGGAAGCATGTCTCAGGCTCAGCACGGAGAGAAACACCGGCAGGAGAAACCCTCCTCATCTTCATCAGCCGCACAACTCAGACTGCCAGCCGCCAAGGATGTTACCGAGGAGGACCTGCTGCGGGAGGTGGAGGACCTGCGATCCGAAAACGACTACCTCAAGGTATGGTGATCATATCTCAAGTTATCAGACTCATAATACCTTTATTCATCCCACAGAGGGGACAATTACAACCTTACAGCAAGAGTAAAGAGCAAAACATAGCAAAATGCATTATTTGGCATGCATGAAATCTTAAAGAGAAAAATTGAAAATGACTATTTACAAAAATACTCATCCAGGTGGACAACAGAAAGTGTATCATAAAGTGTGACAGGGCTTCTATGTTTAATTGTTGTTTTATATTAACACAAAATCCAAAAAGACCCTTCTTTCAGTTGCAGTCTTATTTAATCCCTACTCCAGAAGCATCTGTTTCCCACAGCTGTCATTTTTTAACAGCACAGTTGAGGGTTCAATCCCCACCATCACCTGTTTTTTAAAGTGTCCTTGAGCAACTTTCACCTGCTCACTTATTCAAAGCATATTCTAAGAAGTGTATAAATTATTAAAATCTAAATGCATCAGCTGCCATCCCCATCATGCCCCTGTGTCGACTCTCCATCCATCATGTCGGCTTTTACCCTCCCCTGTGGGTTTGACCTTTATTGATGGGAGTTTTATTGAAAATGGCTTCTCCCTGGCTTTTTCTTAGATTTCCTTTTTTAAATTGTATTGCTGTCAAGTCACCAAAGTCTATTCTGACTGAATTTTTTTTGCCCAAGTCCCCCTCCTCAATTTGCATCTGGGCCACAGAGAGAACATCATCTCCTGTAACGATGTGAATACATTGTCCTCATGGATGCAGTTAACCATTGCTATGTTTTCCAACATCGTTATTTTTGACATATTGCATGAAGATCCTGTTTGAAGATCTCATTCAGGATCCCCCTCCCCCTCCTTTAAGTAGGCTATCCCCTTAAGTTGGGGAGGGGAAGCAAACAGATAATGCGGCAAACAAATCTTGCAGATTCTTTTTTTCAGGCGGTTTATTTGCATGTTGCTCCGAGTATTATTCCAAACTTGATCACACATGTCTGTGTCTCTCTGCGGCTCGGTGCAAACACAAGAGAGTTAATCAGCTTTACTGGCTCTGGCTGTAATGGCTTTATCCCACAGGACTTGATAACAGTCAGATGTCTCATGTATGTGTGGGGTTCAAACACCCGCCTGCCTGTCAGTCTGCCAGCTGGGACGCTGAGGTGAACTCCTCTACTTCCCCCATCCCCCCAAGGAATACAATATCTGGGAGTCCCCACCACAGTCAGAGCTACTGCTTGAAAAACATGTTTATTTTATGTTGACCCCTCATAAGGAGGATTTCAACCTCTGTTATTGTCTCTGCTTGGTTGCAAAACACCATGACATTGATTGTTGTGGCTGCTGCTTACACATTCTTTAAGAGTTGTAACGATTAGGGAGAAATCGAGTAGTCCATTGGCTGAGTTATCAATTTGAATCAATGTTGAAACAGAAGCTATTACTGCCAGCTTCTCAACTGCAAATATTTGATATTATTCTCTATTTTATATTGTTGTGGATGTACTATTGTTGTTTTGACAGTGGGATATTCATAACAAAAATGCCATTATGTTTCTCTCAGGTCTATGAACTTGTGATTCACAGTTTTCATAAAAAGAAAAAGAGATGAATCAAGAACATTTGCAGGGTTAATATCAATTAAACTGCTAAACAGTTTTGTGATAAAGAAAGTAATAGCATTTGTCTGTAAGTAGTCAGAACATTGTAGAAAATAGAAGTGATGGAACTTGTCCTGAACTAAAAAGATAATTCATCTCCTATCATATAAAAAACACAGGTATCTTTGAGTACTTTCTTATGAAAACATGACTTTAAGTTCTCTTGGTCTACCTTATCAAATGTTCAAATTGACAGCTTTTCTTTTCCTTCCTTGTTAGCAAAGAGATTGTCGTTGGTTGGTAAAAAAATAAACTGAAATAAAGACGTCACCTTTGGTCGTGACTCGTGAGAAATTATGATAATCCTTTCACATTTTCTTTGACATTTCCCAGAGAAAAATAAGACAAATCAATCTGGAAAATAATGAATTACAGCAGCTGCTCAATAAAGATATCCACTCTTATCCCTCTTAAAGAGACGACCGATTACCGCTGATGACTCGGTGTACACACTCCCCGTAAACATCAGTGATGCTCTGAATGTACCTGCTCCCATGATGCATCTCTGCCTCTGGCTCTGCCGTTAACCTGGACATCGATTGGAGGACATTAGCTCCTTCCTCCGGGGTCCTCCTCCGATAACAATGTGCTCTGTGCCTACCCAAATGAGGATAGATTTAGTTTTCATTAATTGACACTCTCACTCAACCCCCCCCCCCCCCCCTTCAGGATACAATTGTCTTTTCATCAGGTGCCAGTCAAGCCCTGTGAATCTCCCTCCCAGGGGAAATCTCATGAGCCTCTCCATGTCGGAGGCAAACTGAGACCCTCGAGGATAACGCACAAACTGTCGTAGTAGTACAGATAAACCCTTTTACTTTCCCTCAATCATGCCGGGTAGTTTCATGTTGATGGGTCATGTGAATACATCCAATCCAAGAGATAAGACGCTTAAAGCCAACTAGCGATGTTACATCATCATCACTGAGAGTACGTGCATTACTGGAGCTCGTATGTAATCATATGAGAGTATAATCTACAAAGGTATATTATATTGCATTTCCTTTATAATAGCTTTATGCCTGAAAGGTTTTTATGTTGTAGAATTGAGAATCATCCCCTATGCTGTGATAAGTGTTAACTGTAAACCATGTTACTTTTGAATGAAGCAGAGAAGTATCTTAATTTCCTGTTTACTATTTAAAATGAATTAACACAGAAGCTTTGTCCAAAAAAACCTTCAAGAAAGATGAAATACAGAACATTTCATCAGTATTTCTGACAAACCCTGTCTTGTTACATCAGTTGGTCGGTGTGTGACCCTCTGAGCTTTTTCCTAACATCACTGTCCGGTCAGACTTTCCTCTTACACAACACATTCGCCCAAAGCATCCTCAAACTTAATCATTTCCATGACATTGCTGGGTTTTTGAGGACAGCATGGTTGGTCACCTAAAGGCACCTCAAGTCAAAACTTTGACACAGAAAATATTCAAATCCAACTGGCAGTTTGCCATGAAATATAAAGTGAGAGCACATTCAAACTCAGCTGAACATTTTAGACACTTCATTAGCTTCTTCTGGTGCCACCTTAAAAAATACATTCTTTTAATGCATAATTTACGAGTATGAAGAAGCAAAGACTTAGAGTGGCTTAGAGGGGAAGTTTCATAATTTAACTTCTGGATTCAGATCACTTTCTAACCTTATTTTGGTGTTGCTGGTCCTTAAGGCCTCTTCTGTG